GGCTGGGTTTTAAAATATACCTGAAGGGGTTTAGCTTCTCAGATTCCACTGAAAGATGAGGAAAGTTGGGCCCTTCCTTCCCTCTGCTTCCTTTAAAAGGTTCTGTAAAGACAGACCCTTCCATCAGCAAGCATGGTGTGTGGTGGTCGTGCTTCTGACAGGTGTCTGCAGTGTTTTTGAACAGTGCAACAAGCTGAGCTGAGGAAATTGCCATTAGCTTTTCTGGGAAAGGTAAACTCTCATCATCTCTAAAGGTAAGTACATGTTGACGACTGCTCCCAAAAATGGATAATGGCTTAGGCTCTCAGCTACTATAAAATTACAGGGGTGAATTCAAAGAATCAAGCTCATTAACACAAACTACAGAGCTGATGATCCTTTAGTAGCTGGAAATGCTGGGCTTTGGATGTTATGATTAGACTTCTGATAGTAAAGAGAGGCATGAGAGATCAAGAAAGCAATTAATTCTGTCACAAAACAAACCATATCTGACTCACCAGCATGAGCAGCAGAAAGATCTCTAAAATTTGTCCTTTGAAACCAGGGTGCTATAACAGAGCTGCTTGACTAAAGAGAATGAAAATGCACAAAATGCACTCCTTCTTGCCTGGCTCTGTTTCCAAACTGCAATCCCTTTCTTTTCAGCTGCTGTGGAATAACACTCAAGTCAAATAATTTTCATCTGTTTTCATTTCTCGGGTAGGTGAGAGCATTCAGAGTGAGCATTGCGGAATTACTCAAAATGTATAACAAATTATCTATCTTCTGACTGATCTTGATGCATCTGTACAGCTCCATAATATGAAAATAAGTTATTTGTTGTAACACACTACACATGCTCTAGCTTCTTACAAATGGAGAGCATTCCCTGAGCTTCCAAAGAAGAGTAAGGTCACACAGGTGTGAAATACCTGAACATCTGACATATTTATTAAGGATGTGAAGTTATCCTGTGTGGAAGTAAAGTCTCCAAATGTATGATGTTTGTCAGGGGCTCTGCAGGCGTTGTTTCCCTAATAAAGAAAGTTTTGCATGCATTTCCCAGAGGGAAGGTGATTCACCATGCCAGGTTGAAACCCAGCACACTGCAATGTAAGCAGCTCATGAGACTTGGTGGCACAGTGTATGGAAATCCAGGCATGACTCACACACTCAATATAGGATTGCGAGGAGGTATTTGCAGTAATTGAGCAGAACTTTAGCATCATATCCCCGCTGTTCCGTGCAGAAGTACCATGCAAGAGTAATCCTTTCTGATTCAGCCAAGTGTTCAGGGATGTGCTTGATCCCATACACGCACTTAAACAGGACAGCAGACTGATTTAACCAAGTAAATAGGATTAGGGGTAGGCTTAATGGTTTTGCATCACACGCAGCCTGTGCTTTAACGAATTGCTAAAGCAGAGAATGCCTTTTGTTTTCTGAATTGGTTTTTCTCAAGCCTGGGGGGCTGAGGAAAGGGAACAATCCAATTGCAGAGACAATCTTGGACAGCAATGGGAGATCCTTGCAATTTTTCTGTAGCCATCAGTGGACTGGAGTGCTCCATTGTCTGAACACACGGGCAAGAGCTTCAGCCCAGCTTTGCAAAAGGTGGACTCAGCACGGCTCAGAACCATCCTGGGAGCGAGAAGAGGGAACAGATGAGGGAAATGTTAACACTGTCTAACTGTAGACACATAAATTCAGCTCCTGAATGAAGAGTGTGATTCACAATTGCTGTATACAACTGGAGACAGACAGTCTCCTCCGTAGTGTGACTCAGAATGACCTCTGGAACTTATAGATGCTCCAGACGAGGCTACCTCTATTAATTTTACAGTAAATACAAATAAATGTTCAAGGTATTATGAATACTTCTTCCTGAAAAGCTTCAAATTCGATGCTCAAAGTCTTGAATGAATTTTGACTGCAATGTTTTTGCTAGAGACTTATGATCCAGTGTTTGCAGAGCCCATTACACTCTTCTTAGTTGTGTTACAAAGCCAGCAATGTTTCCCTGTCTAAACTGTTCAAAGCCCTCTGCAGAGTTATGGCTATCTTTTGCATTATAACAGTAGAGTTGTTTTTCCATTAGAGCAATAGCAAAAATACAGAATTCTTTGGGAAATTCTTCACCCCCAACTGCTAAAGGGATAACCAAACAAGCAAATCTCCCTTCCTCTTCTGACCCACTCCAAAACAACTTGTGCTATTAATACTACTATGATGGAAAATCCAAGCTGAAATTTAGCTTTAAACTCTGTTTTACCAAATTAGTGCTGCAGCTTCTTGCTTCTTGCTGTTCCTGCTAAGAATTGTTACATTCCAGCATCAAAGAGACTTTACATGGAGTTGTACATGGATGGAGTTCTTTCATGTGCACGTGTGTGCATTTTTCTACATAAAAAATGTAAGCAATGAACCGTATTCAGACAGCTTGATGCCTGAAACTCATAGATGAAGCAGTGTTTTTAATAAGTACTGATATTTTCAGAAAAGTTTCATTCCAGGATGGTGCACCTCTCTGAATGAGGTAATAGAAATACAGTGTGAAAGAGAAGATGATAGCTGAGAGTTCATACTAAATCTTCGGTTTTAATATGTCTCTCATGAGCAGCGAATGAGGATGGAAGTAGCTGAGCTCCCTGTTGAGCTGTGGGTCCAAACCTCGTCCGAGAAGATCATAGCTGAGAGTTCATACTAAATCCTTGGTTTTTAATGTCTCTCATGAGCAGTGAATGAGGATGGAAGTAGCTGAGCTCCCTGTTGAGCTGTGGGTCCAAACCTCGTCCTGACATCCTGGTGGGGCTCTGCACCCCACCAACTTATTCTGAAGAGGGGAATTAATTCTGTGGGCCTAATGGGGCTGGCATTTGTCTCTCCTCTTTGGCCAGCCTTTAAGGATCTGTTTCACACGAGCCCTTCGTGCAGCAGCACAGGCAGAGCTGCACGCCCCTGGTCCTAAGTGCACTTCCTTATCAGAATATATGGCACTGCATTATGCTGCGTGTTCATGGTTTGAAACACTGGCTGATAATGTGGCCACAGTCAAACAAAATGCTGCATGCAACAGCAACCAATCCATTTGCTTTAGGGAAAGAATATGACGTCAGAAAGAAAGAAATATATGCTTAGCTACATTTGATTGGAAGCAGTCAAATAACTGAAATTATGTTAACATTAAGATATATTTTCCTGATAGCGACCCACTTTCATATATTATCTATTTATTTTTCTCTGGTATCTTAGTGGGACTTGAAACATATTAGATATTTTTTTTTCCAGTAGGCATTTAGTACATTGCTGGAAACAAAATTTCTCATTCTTTCCGGTTACATTATTCTCACAAATAACAGTAGGAGAAGTGATATTTTTAATGGGTTCTTGTGTAATTAAATAGAAGAATGTTCACAGAAATTAGCTTTATTACTGCCTAGAGTGGTTGGAGTTTGAACCTTTTCAGTCTGCAGTTAGAAATATTAGATATTGATTCCGAGCAAAATACACATTTCTAGAGATTTCTTTTTCTAAAACGCTGCTGTGAATGGAATGGTCCCTCAGAGCTTTGAAAATGGACTTCCTGAGAGGAAATACTTGATCAAACAGAAAGGGTTTAGGCTGTGCAGGTACTCTGTGTTGTATAATAACTCTTTCTTTTTCTCCCTGCAAATTTTCTTCTATCGTTATTTTCAGAGCTGTGCTAACTCAGATGCCAACTTTCCTTACATTTGCATTGTTCAGAAAACTGCAGTGGCAGAGGATGGCTTAATGTTGCAGAAGGAGACTTTCAGAGACAGTGCAGTCCCTCCTGTCCCTCTGATGCACAAGGAGGTAATTGTGACTGTCACCTCCACAGTGTGATGTACGCACCAAAAAAAGCAGCAATCAGATGTTTCCCCTCCCTGTGAATGTGCTCTTTTAACAAACAGACCACGTTCTCATTTAATCCATGATGCTAAGACAATGCAATAAGAAATACTAGAGCTAGCATTTCATTTCTAAGGCCCCCCCCTTTCTCCCTTAAATTAGCCTTCTATTTACTGAAAATGCTTATGTTTGTTTTCAGAGTGAAGAGGAGAGGGAGAGGTAAGAAAGAGGACACTTCATTTGAAAACTAAATTATCTAGTTTGGAGTTACAAGATGTGACTTATCAGAAACTCTGTTTGGAAAACTCAAAGCTGGTGAACGTAGAAAGTTAAATGCAGCATTTCAAAAGCCAGTCAACTTGAGAGAAAAAATACTGTTTAGTGTGGAAGCTGGGTAGTTTGCTCTAATTTAGGCTTAGATTTCCCTCTTTTCTTAACGCTACTTCAGAAATCAATTTTCTGTGTACATTTACCATGAGTATTTCTCATAAGGGAATGTATCCATTGAAATCACATTAAGTGTTTTAATTGTCCTTAGGGCATTTGACAATGCAGATTTTGTAATTGAGAGGTAGTTGGTTACACTAGGTACAGCGTACAAGGCTTTAAGGGCTTGTTTCCCTGCTGGCTTGGAATGTGATTAGTGATGGAGGGAACAGTAATTATTTCAACAGTTTTCATGCAAAGAAGAGAAGACCCATGTGTTTACCTTGAGCCCTGGACTCTTTTTTTGCTGCATTATTTCATTTTAGTGCTTCTGGCACACACATCTGTGTATTAAATAGGCAGAATTCTTTTAACTGTTGGAATTACAGACAGTGCTGCTGTCAGTGATGTCCACAGCAAACCTTATTTGGCTGCTGTTGTGAGAAGGAAACAAGTGGGTGTTACTGCTGAAGACATCCCTTGGAAACCCTCATTTTCAATACACTCCACATTTCTTTCCATCCAATCCTGGTTACTTCCCCAAGCCATTATTTTTCATTCTAAACCCCATTTCCCATTCCTTTTAAGTCAATAGCTTGACTTTATCTTACTGTTTTCTTTACAAATGTTAAGACCACACACTGAGCTCTGCTAACACATTGTATTATGCTACTGGTAGACAAATTTTAACATCACATCACATACATGTTGCAGTTGCTGTTGTCACATGCCTTTTAAAAAATACGTTTATTGGATGAAATTGTCTCTTTCTCAAGAAAAAAATCTGGTTCTTCAATATAATTTATTATGCCTTTTAAAATTCTGTCTGTTCAATAAAATCTTTGCTATATTATAAATACCTGTAACGAAAATATAATTTAAAATTCTGAGAGAAAACTTTTTTTTTTTTTACTTTTACATTTTTCACAAAACCCACACAGGCACCAAGGAAAGACTAACAATAAAAATAATTTACTCCTGTACAAGCTGATCTGGGTTGGAAACATTCAAAAGAGAGATTTTAAACTTGTTGTCTGTTGAAACTTTGGCTACAGCATAGGAACTGATCTTAAAACAAAGGAGGGTCTTTTGTTTCCCACCCTTTTAACCTGAACATTTCTTTCAAGGCCTGATGGAGTGTTGTTAGTTCTTTCCTCACTGTAATATACCTGAATGAGGACTGGCTAAATCTGTTGTTATCTGAGGGAACCAGCCTCTAAGCTTCATTGCACAGGACTGAAAGTGGCCCTTACCTTGCCATAGGAGTCTATTCTGAAAATTAAACATTAGTGAAAATAAGTGCTCTCATTCTGTAATAGCAGCAATTAGAAATTTTCATGGTTTGCTTGTTCATTAGTTATGCATTGCCAGAAAGCTTTTGCATGGAAAGGACAGCAAAGGGAAAGCTTTCTAATCTGGACCACTTGCAGGAATATTTTTTTTTAAATGACTGCTCTTCCTAAGCAAATTTCTTAGTAGAGAAATTGCTCCCTCTCTTAGTAGAGAGGGAGCAATTCAGTAGAAGCAGCGTTCAATAGCAGAGATGTTATCCTTCAGCTGCTCTCTAGAAGAATATTAAAGAATCCTTAAAACTGGCAAAAAGGCAGGCTAAGACCAAGGTAGCCATGAAGCCACCACAAATAATGTTTTTTTAAATCTTACGTTTGGTAAAAAATTTTCAAGGTTGTCTTTGGAGAAGTTTTTGGTTTTTTTTCTACAGAATTCTTAATTAATTACTGTAAATAGGTTTACCTTTAAATTACAGGATTTAGTGTGAAATTTGAAAAACTTTTATTTGAACTGATGGATTATGAGCAAAATGCGAAATTCCTGTCTTAGTGACACTTGCATAATTTTAAGAAATAGACAGTGAAAAAGAACCTATTAAAATATTTCTAGAGAGTCTGCAAAACACATTTCAATAGTAGGCAAGAGGAAGAAAAGTAAAAAGCAGGCAGCACTTTTTTGGGTTTTCTTTAGCACTTCAATGAGATAACTATCCCCTGGGAATCTTCATTTCCTTGTTCTAGATCCCCTAGCTTTTCTGAGCATCCAACATGGCTTTTTTTTTTAATTATTAGAAACAAAATAATATATAATTTTGACTCTCATTAAAGAGGTATGTGTGGAAAACTGCTAATGTTAGGGAGTTGCTCACCCTAGTTGCTTTCTGACAGTCTGACAGCCACCTCTGCCTCAACCTCTTCTTCCCACTCCACATTCCATGCTCACCCTTCCCAGTGGTTTTTTGGTTTTTGCTTTTTTTTTTTTCTAATCTCAGACAATTTTGCCTCGTCTTTGTAGGTATTTTGGGAATTTTACAGTCTTTGGGTGGACTTTTCTGCACCTAGCCTCTCTGTTCCACTTGGCCTGGCTACTTGTATATGTAGGCATCTCAGAAGGCAGCTTTGTACTAATTTTGAGACCTGACTGAGGCTCCACAGGTAGGAGGCTGGAGCCCAAAGCTCATATATTTGACACAAACAGATCAGTACCTCCATCAGGTGATTCGTAACTGGTGAAAAGAAAGCCAAGTGCTCTGAAGTGAGACCCTGCCCTCGTTAAACACTTGGGGCCTAGAAAGACCAGGCTCATAATTCAGGCACTTCACTTGGGTGAGTTCCGAGTCTGCTGGAGAGAATTCCATCCCGTGGCCTGGGATGCCTCAGTGGGGGCTCTTTTTTATAAGTGCGTTTCTGTTTGTAGTCTAAATTGTGAGTAACTTCATCAGTGTTCACCGATGCCATAGTCCAACCCCAGCCTCCCAGATGTTCCTCTACAGGAGAACAGAAGGGCAAGGGAGCATTGTTTGGAGAAGGAACAAAACACCTATGGACGGAAGCAGTACTGGCTGCAAGTATTCAATCGGAATAAATGACAAATATAACAAAGACTGCAATATTCATGACAAATCCATGGATGAGAATATATCCCCATAGCTTTGGCAGTTTGGTTCAAAACTGCTTGGTAATTCAGGTTTTGAATCCTACTGCATGCTGAAGTGAAGAGGGTGGAAGAATAAGTAATGTGAAAATTGTTTAAATTAGAGTATTAGGGTTTTCAGGGGAGTACTATTGCATTTCATGCCTGAGGGGGCAAATCTACTCTGAAGAAAGATTTTGAAAAAGGATAATACTAAAAAGTGTAATTTTGCTGTCTTATCCCCTCACACCCGTTTTTTCCCTTCCTTGATATTTGTATTAAATATGAAGCAATCAAAGCAGCAATCACACAACTAGAGCATACACAGACTTTGGAAAAAAAACTACAGGTGGGGAGAACGAATATTTCCAACTCAGTGCCCTACCCTACAGTTAATTTCCTTCATTTATGATATCAACCAACGCTTGCAGCAGTCTATCATCTCTATGCTTGTAAGGTTTGGCATTGTAAAAAAGATCAACGTAGTCACTGTACAGACTTTCTTCTGAGCCTCTTAACTGGGAGGGCTTGTTCAATTTTTTGAGGGCTTGGTAGAAGTGTTCGTATGGAATGTTTAACTTCTCGCTTGCTGTCTTCTTTGGCAGCTGCTTCTGATCCATCTGTCTGCTAAAAGCACTTTGCAGTAAATGCAGCATGGCTTCTGATGGGATTTTGTCTTCTGCTTTGTCACTGCTGCTGCTGGTGTCTTCTGTGGCCTTGGGTTTTTCACTCAGGCTCTCCAGTGTGGTATGGTCCTAGAATACAGATTAGCATGAAAAAAGGTCAGGTGTCAATGAAAGACTGACTGGATTAAGGCTTGCTCTGGTTGGTGATCTCCACCTAAGTGTGGAAAAATGTTATTTTTTCATTCAGGAGACACTTGGGCATCTAGAAAAGAAGCAGACCATTGTCAACCAAAACAAGCTTTTGAAGGGCTACACTGTATAAAATATCAAATCCTCCTGCAATATAGGTATTTATAAATTCAGATTCCACACTGGCAAAGACAACACGTCATTTTATACCAGTATTTGTCCCAGTCTTAAGAGATAACTCTGGTTGTGTCACAAGACACAGCACTCTAAATGAAGGAAACATATATGCAGTGGTGGTGGCAGTTCTGATTGTGCCTTGCACTCTGAGTAAAAGGATGGAACCAGTGTTTCCACCAAACCTTCTCTGTAGATGATCTCTACCTGAGAAAACGACAGTGAAGTATGGCTAATGAGTGGTCATAACACATTCCTAGGAGACCTTGGAAGACTCATCCCAAGTATAGGTTCACGGAGCAGTTGGTGAGAGGCATTATCTTATTTCAACACTCGTATATGCCTGCAGAGCTTCCTCATTCAACCTAGAATCAGTATTTCTAACTGAACACTCATTTCATCTCCATGTAATTTTTACCGTGTCCACCCATTTTCTCCTGCAGCACCTGCTGAATCCACTTTTACTTTCTTCCCATTTGTTTTCTTGCCTGTGGCTGCCAGACCTGGGGACATTTATGTAATGGATTTAGAGGCCATTAGCACACCCACCTTTCATAACCTGTATGAGGAAGGTTAAACTATCTGTGCTTTATGGATGTCCTAATTACTTAATGGGGAGACAATTTGATGTGATGAGATTATTTTCTGATGCTGTTGACGCAATCAAGCACTATGAAAATGTGCATTACTACCATCCTGTGCATCCTGAAACCCAGGGTCACCCTGTCTTGTCTTATTTTTAGAGCACTGTTATCTGCAGTGTAAACAGGGGGTGCTAAAAGGTCTGGCAGCACGGGTCCACTGAGCCAAACTTTTTGAATTGGTGAGTTCCTGACTTTTGTCAAGCCCTTTGTTCCTGAAATTCCTTGCAAACTCACTGGAAGCACTCCAGCAGGCAAAGTTCCTTTAGAATGTGACACGTGTTCTCAGTAGAATTATATAAATTTAGTGTGACTGTCAGAAGTGTCTTCCTCCCTCCTTCCACCACTCAACTGCATTAGCCACAGAGTTCCTTGCTTTAGGACCAATTTCCTGTTGTCATCCTAAACCCCTTAGATTTTGCAATTTGAAACAGAGAGACTAATAAAAATATCAGTTGTTGACATAGGAAAAATTATGATATACACTCAAAACCAATCAACAGTTAGATGTAATGAATATTAAATAAATATGTATCTTCTTACTAGGCAAAAAAAAAATCCTAAACATTTTCTTATAAACTAAAAAGTACATAAGAAATAAATGTAATATAACTCTACCTCTACAAGATCCGTCATCTTCTCCACTCCTCTTCTGTCATTCTGCACAGCGTTGTAGGATGTATACACACGTGGCTGCTTCATGTGTTCAGGCTGGGTAGCAGTGCCATGCAAAATCAATTTCCAGTTTACAATCCTCCCCTCATTTTGTATTCGCCTGGACTGAAAAACAAGCGTGGCATCAGAATAGGCTCTCAGGACACAGAAGAGCAAAATAGACACTTGAATGCAAAGTACACAGAAGCGACCAAAGCAAATTATCAGGCTTTCAATACCTACCTAAAGAGTATGATTCATAAGCAAAAAAACCCCAGATGTAGTAGAGACTGAGTATATTGGAGTGTGGGATTTAATACAATAGCCTACACACTCAAAATATCCACATATTGATGTAACATAATTATTAATTCATCATGTAAGCATCAATGGAATTTTGTCATAACACAGAATGCTAGAAGTTACTGAAGTAGTATTTTGCATTACTAGAACTTGTTCAGTAGGCCATTCCTTGGTAACTTCCTTATAAAAGTTATCATTGGAAATGATAATGCAAGATGCTATTCTTTGTTATTATGTGGTGTATAACAGCAATCTGAAATACAGCGTGTGGAAGCAAACAGCAAATGTTTATTTATAAATTTTGGTGCCAGTAGTAGTGGAAGTAGAATGTGGAAGAGACAAGTAAAGAAAAAACCTACAAGGTGAGGGAAGAGTGTATTACGCCTTGAGGACAAAAATATTGCTTTATTGTAAATTTCAGGAAGTTCTCACTTGAAATGAGAGCTAATTTACAAACAAAATGCTCTTCTTACCTTTGTTCCACAAAAATGCATTCAAAGAGCAGGATATCAGTAACCATGGGGCTATCTATAAGCCTGCAGCATTAACACTACACTGCTGATAGTAATATTTACTCCTGGTGCCTTGTCCAGCTGCTCAGCTCTTGGCAATACCCTCCTGTTTACAATTTGAGGCCAATAAGGACTGAAAGCTCAGTGTCTAACAGGAAGCTTTCAGTTTTTGGCAAGATCTGACCCCTAAGGACAAGCTTATTAACAGACAACTTCAATGAGATGAGTGAGTTTGATCACTTTCTCTTTGAAGGAAATTATTTTTCAGTTGCCCACCAAGCAGGTTAATTCTGGTGTCTTGCTGCTGTAATCCATATCCCCAGGTGGCTTTAGTAAACTGATTTATTTCATATCTGTAGACTACTTAGCTTTAATCCTTAAACGCTGTTCGGCACTAGATACTCTTAGCAAGAAATTAGAGAAATGTATACATGAGAATAGATCCAAAAATCATTAATTCAAAAGGTTCTCAGTTAATGAAAACTATGCACATGGACCAAGAGAAGACTAGATCCATGCTGTGCTCTTTTCTGCAAAAAAGAATTTCCAGTTGACCATATGTTCATTTTATTTCATGTTTCAATCCAAGAATCACAGAAAATTTATCAAGTGTTTAATTTTGGTGATGTGCATCTGAAAAAAACAGGCATGAAATTTTTTTCAAGGGTACGGGCCAGTGAAACAAGAATGGTGCTTTGCATGTAGGCAAAGAACAAGAAAATCTGACCCTACCTTTTTTTTCTTTAGTCCTTAACCCAGCTGGATACCTTAAATAACCTCTCATCTAGCTTGCTTAACGAGCAGGCTCATTACTGAACTTGCTTTGTCGTGATGAGTGAGCATTTAATCTGTGTTAGCTCCCAAACACAGCTAGTTAGCATACTCACCATATCAGTAATCCTTAAAATCCAGGTGCCTGCTGGATCTTCCCCCCAGGTGTGGACAGACATGAAGTCCCAGTTCTTGAAGCCATTGGGGGATTTGTCCCTCTCCCTCTCAGCCAGTAAGACAGTGCTGGTCCCTGTGTGGGTGCAAGATCAACACTCTGACTGCCCGTGCACTGCCTGTTCCTGCTTTTCACGTTTGTCAGCTTGCACACTGCCTGGAGCAGAGGTGACCTGGAAAACACACTGCTCAGCAGTGCCTCCTTTAGCAGTGGCTCCTGTAATTATTTTTACAGCCGTGCCTAGGAGCGCACAAGCTGCCAGGTCACACCAAGAAGGTACATCTTGTTCAGTGCTCTATCTCTGGCACAAAAAGGTAGTGAACGCACATAAAAGAAGCATAAGGAGAAGATGCCAGGCACAACCAATCTTTCCCACCTATGAGCTGTTCAAGAAACTCCTGAAATGGAAGTTTTGAAGGTAAAACTCGTGCAGTCTAATGAAACCACAGTCTTATGATTTCATCACTGGTTCGGAGGCTTTTTTTGGTGAGTGGAGGTATATTGTCACAGCCTGGTCCTCCAACAGGGTGAAAAAATGCATTTGTATTGTTATTATTACAAAAATGCTGCAGCTCACAAAGAATTTCTGCAGCAAAAGAGGTTCTGCTGCACAGGAGGAAATTTGTTTGGCTTGTTTACGTACAAGAAAAAAAGCAAGGGAGCAATATTTACATAATAAGGAGCACTGAAGCCCCAAGGAGCCTTGTCACAATTTATAAATATATTTAAAGGTAACACCATAAATATAGAAAAGGAATGACATACATTTGCTACTAATGCTTTGCAGGAAAGTAGAAACAAGGGAAAAACAATTTAACCATGAAAGCAAAATGATAGTGCAGTGGAGGCAGCAGTACTTGATGATTGCTACCTAGAAACAGAAAAATTAGATCAGCCTGATATTTAAATTCATATGTGAAAGCTTGTCTTTTTTTTTTCCTTTTAATACCAGTTGATCTAACAGACTTTACTCTTAGTTGTTTATAATATATATAATTTTTTTGGTCTTATTATGTTGTTTCAGGACATTGTCAAGACAGCTAGACATATTCTAGCTCATTTAGTACAGTTGTACCAAGGTACCTAACAGAAAGACTGTGTTTTTTTAAATACCCCAACGGGGAGATTCATTAAATGAAACCTAAGGAATCAGATATCCTAGTTTTCCATTAGTCTGCTAAATCACAGGAAGTCTCATAAGAATTATTGATCTATAATCCATTGTCTGCCAGGAGCCCTGAGGTTTCCTAGGTCCAGTTGTCTCTGTGAAAATGTTCTGTGCCTTCATTTTCTGACGGATGATTTTCAAACCTCTTTTCACAAAAAGAACCCAGAACAGGTGAAGGTTAAAGAGGCATCTCTGTAGCTCCCTGGATGCTTTATCCCCATTGGACTTGTCCAATGATATATTTAGCTCTCTTTAACCACTGAAAACCACTTTTTTTCATGAAGTAAATGTTACACACTACAGCAACACAAATCAAATGTGCCTTTGCCTCCTGTACCTGATGGAGAAACCAGAGTGACATGCAGATCACCTCTGCGGGAATACTCAATCGTTGCCTCGAGCTGCACGTGCTCCAGAGATGCAATGGAGTTCTCTTGACCCTCGCAGGCTTTTGTGGGAATTTCAATAATGACTTCTTCATTTGCTCTTAATAATCTGTCAAAATTAAAGTAGATTTTTTTATTACCCACAGGAACTCTGGATTCTGGGTCATGAATGGCACATTTAACAGGCATTTCAGAATGGTGAGAAAGGGAGAGTCAATGCCAGCTCAATAAAAAAAGGTAATGTCTGCTGCTCATGGTCTGTGCAGAGAGAGACTCTACATGGCTTTCTCTGCACAGTTCCCATTACTTCCAAATAGAATGGGTATCTAAATCTCCACATAAATAATTCTAAGCTCAATATCATGGGATCTTTGTTTTCATAATGTAACATACAGGACTGCAATAAAGAGCAAGTGTGGCATGCATCAATAGCGGGTCAACATTCTGTGAAACTGACAGAGTCCATAAAAACAATTTGATAGTGAAATAGCATAAATAATAAGATTACCAAGCAGTGACTCTCCAAAACACTGCAATATGTTTCTGCAGACAGACCTTTGTTGCATTCACATGGCATAATTTCAGCCTTGGAATAGATAATTTTTTCTGGAAAAAAATCCGTATGCAAACATGTAGCGACAAAAAGTCTAGATATCTTTATTGATTAACCAGCTCAATGACTAATGATAATTAATCTCTCTGTTCAGGCTCACTGTGCTGTTGGCACGTGGCTCATAGTGACTTTTCAGTGAGCTTTGACACACTTGTGTTTTGTAAGAGAAATGCTGCAGACATTACTAAAGTTCAATATATCACCTTGATTACAACATACACAAGCCTATCACAGGAGAAGAATTGCTTAGACCCATTACAGACACTTTTATTTTTAAAAAAATCTTTGTGAGACATCAGTATCTTTTTATCTGTCTTCTGATGATCGTCTAAAAATTCACAGCCTTGCTGATTGGGCTCAGCCTCACAGTATCATTCTTTTATACACTGTCTGCACAAGCAGACATAATAATCTTAGTCTTTGTTAAGACTTCATGCTAGTAATTTCCATCAGTCTTACACTAAAAAAACAAACCAGGAAGCAAAGCTGCTTGCCTTCCTCTGGGGAATACAGTCTGGCAAAACTAAATGAATAAAAAGAAGTCCCTTATTCCTGTTCAGAGCAATCTATGAAGAATATGATCCTTCAGGCTTTATTACAATAGGCACCAGCTTGGTAACTGGTAATGTAAATCCTTACCTGGGTTCAAAGCTCTTGTCTTTGACAATACACTCTCTCTTTTCTGGTACACTTTTCCATCTCTTGGGATCAGCTAAATCCACCAAGGCATTGGCGTTGAGTAGCCCAAACCCAAATCGGCTGTTGACCATCAGTCCTGCTCCATTTTTTTTCCATCCTGGATTTCCAGCCAATGGATCATATTCTGAGGTCCACACTACCAAGTGCTGCATATCCCTCCATGTTAGATCTGGGCTGTTTGGAAAATATTCCTGATTAGTTGTTTCAGGGCTATCTGTCATTTTTTAATCAATTATTAGACTGAAACAGAACGTGCTTTGAATGCATATGGCATCCCACTGTTTTATAACACACAGCACGTTCCACTTATCCTCACAATATTTCTCTGGGCAGACAAGATTTCTGTGTCCATGAAGAACAGGTATCTAGCAAGAATAGAGTCCAATCCTCCAAAACAATTCAGGCATTTTTAGTTAGCTAGCAGTACTAGAATTTCCCACCCATCTTTTTAGAACCTCTGTATTTGATTCCATCTGTGGCTCAGTCTACCCTTTAAAAGATCTAATTTTTAATATCTAATATTTTATATAGGTTTGTGTCACCAAAGGGGTGTGCAGTAGAAAATGGAGCTGAATCTATAAGATACAAGCATTGAACCTGTGCACTACTGCCTAAAGTGCTTTCTGTGGAAAAAAGTCATTGTCCTGTCCTTTCTTAGCTTCTCCAAGGCCTAAATTCTGACTATCTACAAACCTGGCTGCTCCCTGCCTGCTCTGACAGACAGACTTGGGCACCTTCTCCTTTATGCCTCATTGCTGGCAGAAATTCTTCTGTAAATTGGTTGAGGCTTAGCTTAAACTCCTGCAGCCTGTTGTCTTCAAATCACCTTCTCCTGAATCCCTGTGCACACTCACTTTTAGGTGCATCTGACCATAAATCAGTAAATGCTGTTGCCAACCCACAAAATATTCCTCAGTCATCATGATTTATTCACATTGGTTCTGCTTTTCTAGGAAGGTGTTGGGGCAAGTAGCTGCTTTTTTTTTTTTTTTTTTGTCAGTCAGACTTGCTCAGCTGCCTGAGCAAGTCTGACTGACAAAAAGTGGATGCTGCAGTATGAGGTAGCGCCTCTTAAAAGAGGCATTTGGGGTATGGCAGTGGGGCTGTTGAGGGAAAGAAGTTTCAAAGGTCGTGGTGTGACATCTTACTTTGCTTCCAGCGCCAGAGCAAAAATTCCTGCTGCCAGAGGTGCAGATGCAGAGGTCCCTGTGTGAGTTTCTGTACATTCATTGTGAAGATCAACACTTGTCTGACAGAAAATTTTAAAAAAAGAAACAAAAAACCCAGACAAACAAACAAAAAAAAGCAAAGAAAAAGAAAAAAAAATCATAAATAAACAGTTGTAAATACTGTCGTATCCATACTCACAAACGTAACTATGTGTCCCCTACTTGGTGCATATTAATACACTCCTTACTAGCAAAAAAAAGTGATGAGTTTTAAAATCTGTTCATATTTCAATCCACTCTTTTTACTTCAACTATAATTTTAGTATCAAAACGTTTTTTGTTGGAACAAAATACTCCCACTCTGAATATCTTATTTTAGTCTAAAGGTTTCACAATAAGCGTTTCAGGCTTACTGGTGATTCATGAAAACAGATCATTGTGTTGGGCCTAGAACATTCAAAATTACTGCTTACTAGGAAATTACTCATAGGATTAGCATTGGTGTTCTTCTCCCTCTTCAGCAGAAGAACTATAATTTGTAATGAATAAACACCAAACTCATCAGCCCATTTATCTAAATCTCGACTATAAAGAGAAGCCAGGGAGTAAGGACTGATCTCCAGGCTAACTTGGAATGACGCTCTTTTAATCCCCATCAGTGCAGTGTGTTGTAAAATTAGCATCTACTAGGGCTGGACAGAAATTACAGGTATTTCAGCACTATTGTGCCACGGCAATTTTCTTCAGCACAATTAAGGAAGGCACACAGACTGGTACGCCTGCTTGCCGGGTTTGGAAGGTTTGAAGGCACTGTTGCTGCTGTCTCCTGTCTTCAAAAATGTAATGACAAGGTGTAACAGCGGCCCTGACATCACAGGTTTTCTTTTTACTCTCAGTCTCTCTTCATTTGCCCTTTGTGAAGAACAGTGCCATATCAAAGCATGCAGAGACCTCTTTCATACACAAACAGTGCTCACAAACCGCAGACAAATTCATCAGGCTTATTCAACTGCATCGACACAATGATTTTGTTTAACCATTGCTTTAAGGTAGAAGAACAGAAGAATACAATCCTTTTTTGGATTACAAATCCCTTAAAGTTTCCTGACAAAAGCACTAAGCACATAACCCAAAACAGGCACTCAAAACCAAGCATTTAACAGATTTTTTTTTTATTATTATTATCTGCATATATCATATCTTTCTATTTGTTCTGAAACTGGTAAAAGCAACTTACAATTCTTTGGTCAGTATAATCCCCGCTGCTGTATGCTGTGGCCAGAGTTGAAGAGCACTTCTCTGCATACCAGGGAGAAAGCCCTTGCTGAGAAGCACTGCTAATGGAGATGGTGTAGATGCTATCAGTGTAACCATCACAGTCACAGTTGTCACCCTGACGACCCCCGTTCCCTGAAGCCCACACGAAAATGGAGCCTTTCCCATTTCGTCCCTAGGGGAAAAGAAAAAAAATAAAAAAGGAAATGAACGATTATCAAAGAGATTTCAGATCTCACAATGTATCCTTAACAACTCCTTTCCCACAAAAGCCTAATATTGCAAACATAGGAGAGGAGCAATTTCCATAAGCACTGTAGAAGACAGAAACAGAATAAACCAGCTGTTTGTGACACCCTACTGCTCACCCCACAGCACAACACTTAATCTCACTGGCCTAGGTTTAGTGTTCCTGATACAGCAGCTTTCCTCAGGTTTCCAAGTTAAAAACAGAGTCTGTGTTCAATGAATAAATTTTTCCACATGCTGCTGTTTGATCCTTTATAATTTCTAGAAGAAAAAAAGGCTTTAAAAAAAAGTCAGCAAGTTTATCAGGGGTTATTGAATTTCCCTTTCCTGGACTCACAGAGGTATGGGTTAGGAGTATGAGTGATGGACACACTGAAAACCCTCTCTTCTCTCACAGATCCGTGGGTCAGCACCACCAGCCTCCAGGTATAGCCATGTAAAACATCACAGCTATCACAGAGGAAACATGCATCGCTATGCAGTCTTAAGCTCTACTCATTCTTCAGTGGAAAAGAATATGTTTCATGTGACAAGCAAAATTATATTCATTGTTCATTATTAATATACACACATTTAATATTCTACAGCAGCTGGAATACATTTTTTTTTATCATTCCACTCATGTGAGATTTGAAGGTATTTATGCAAATTATAAGACATTTGCAGCACGTGAAACATGAAAAACGAAGAGAAATAAGATGTACTCGGTGATACAGGTTTTAAATTTGGAAAGACAAACCACATCAACTACAGAAAATCATATATTATCTTTGAGAACAAAGGCTGCAGTCCAGGAAAACACTGGTGTATCCCAGCACCCGCCCTGATTTCACTTAGAGTGATGGTAACTCTTCCTTGGTTCTTCAGGTTAAGCTGTGCTCAGGTGCTTCACCTGAGCAGCAGTGAAGGATCCAGGGATTAGAGCTGTTGTCAATCCCAGCACTGGCTGACTTTAAGCAGAATGGGAAACAGACAGACCTTTGCAAAATCAATCCTTGAATCCTGAGAGACAAACAGGTAAATTTTTTCCCCACTAGAAACAAAACAAGCTGAAAAAAAAAAATTCTCCACCAAAGACCCTACCTTTTTAGAGTAAGACCAATTAATATTTGTTGCCTAATTTTCACTTTTAATTCTCCCTCTGCTCTTGCTACCTACCTATAGGCATATAACCTGTTACAAGCTCTCTCCTCTGTCTCCATTATTCCCTCATATTGTCTTTGTCAGCTGTCAGCATTTAAACTGTTTTCTCTTTTTCTCCTTCTGCCTAATGATGTTAATTGCCCTTTATCCAAAATTTTCTGTTTGTTTGTCCTTCAAGCTATTTCTCTCTTCTCCCCTCCATGATTCAGTCCTCCTCTCTTTATTGTACCTGTCCATCTTTAGATATCCTCACCTCAATGGCAAGAGCTAGAATAGTTTACTAATAAATTCATGACAGCTCTCAGTTTCCACCTTATTTATCACCCAACAGATCCAAAGAGTGTAACATGAAAAAAGGAAACCCGTAAAAATATTGCTCCCAGTATTCCTCATCATGCATTTGTACTATTTTCATTTTAATTCGATCGTGACATGCACCAATTTATAAATTAATGCAATTAGCACAATACAAGCTCATCCACAGGGTGCTAAAATGCATCACTATTTCACACAGCAAAATATTCATGAAGCAGAAACGTTGTATTAAATTTTATGGGCTTTCAGTGCAGAAATCCAATTACTGTTCAGTGTAAAACAAGCAGCGGAGAAGGGTGGGTGTAGGGTGAGACCAAGGCAGCAAAATTAAGGATGTAAAAAAAAAAAGCTTATCCATGGAGGCTAGCAACTAAAAACCAGTTTAGAAAGCCCTGATGGTGTTTCTCAAAAGTCCTTTCTGGCTGGAAATTTCTCTCACCTGTACTACTAAAATACATTGTGCCCATTGAAATATATTTGAGCAAAGACAGACAAACCATTTCCATTTTTTATCTGGTATCAACCATTTCAAAACTCTCTTCTCTGCCAAATTTTTGCTTCATTTTTTCCCTGAAGTACCATACCTGGTTTATCCCATACTCAAAAGCCTTCTGGGCCAGTCTCCCAGGTCCCTCCACAGTTTTGCCATCATCATTAGGGCCCCAGCTTGCACTGTAAATATCCACATGTTCTGGGTTGAAACCGATTGAACTGGCCTCAATTGCATCCGTGACTATTCCATCCAGCATTCGTATACCTTCACAGGGAAAAAAAGAAAAAGAGAAGCAGACTGGATTTACTTTCTGCTCCCTCCTCCTTGTCTTAGTTACCTGTTTTTAATGTTTCCAGTAAAATTAAGCCATAAGTACTGCAACCGCAACTGACTACTGTTCATGTAAAAAGTACTGAGGAAAGCTTCTGTCAGTGTAAAACAATTAGACTTTATTTGCAAAGCTCAGTGTTCCTCTACAAAAATAAGAAAAAGAAAACCTTGAAATCTCCTTAGCCTCCTATTTATTCTTTTCTCTCCTTCTACACAGACCAAAGAGGATGTCTTGCTTACTGCTCCTGTTTTTTACTTATTGCATTCTCTTTCTTCCTCCTTCTTCTCTCTTAGATCTGCAACAAAGACTTCTCAAACTGCTAAAATGCCACTGAAATTAAATAGGTTTTACCAACATTACTTTTATCTGTAAGAGTTCTAAGAGTTTTAGTTCAAAGATGTAGTTCTGAGTGTTCTGACCAAAGCACTTGTCCCTAACAGTCATTAAAGGTTTTGCCGTCTCTGTGACACTACAATTTCACCAGCTCTTCAATCTCCACCACAGAAAAAGAAAAAAAAAAAAACCCTCACTGTTTTTCTACTGCCACGTTTTTTTTCTTCTGTGAGCAACCCAGAGATATCTACTCATTAACAATTTATTAGGAGCTGCATGATTTAATCTCCTTCAGAGCAAGCCTGAACTCAGTGGTACTTAAAATTCAGGTGCAGGCAGTGGTTCATCTGCACTGGATCCTTTGCTGTGCGAAGCCACAGCTCTGCAGTGGGGCTGCTACTACTGTCCAGTGCTGGAAGACAGCAGAAAAAGCAGAAGTCTGGCAAAATTCCCACTGTGGCATGGCTCTTACAGCAACAGCAGCAATAGAAGAGTCACCTCAGTCAGGATTCAGCCTGTGTTTACAAGCAATAAAAGTGTCTGGGTTCCCTTGGATTTGGCAGGTTAGTACTACAGCAGCTGCACCATTGCTGGCAGTTGGTGAATTATGACTACTCATTTTCTAGTATTTTTCACAAAACAGGGATTTTGCCAAAGCACAGCAGGCAAAATGTAGCCATTCTATTAAAAAAAAAAAAAATACCCAAAGATACCCAACAAAAAAACCCTCTAACCTTACCCTTGCAGCTCAGTGTCTTGTTCTTTTTTTTTTATGCTATCAAGCAGAGGAAAAAAGACTGCAAGCATAATTCTTTTCCTGAATGGCTGACCTCTTAATACTCCTAATACCTCCGAGATACAGCTGAGCTTTATTATTTCATATTCATTAGTGCTAGAATCAGACAAAGGAGTTAATCCGCTCCACCACAGCTGCTCTGCTATCACTCACAAAGCTGGGAAAAGCACCGAGGTATATCTTGTGCCTCAGGTACTAAAAACACCACTTACCCAGGCTTGTCTTAAACTGAGAATGGTTTCATTACTCTTTTTTTTTTTTTTTCTGTTGGCTCAGAATTTCCAGATTCTCTCATGCCAGCAAAGATCTGCCTGTGTGAAAGCGATTGCAAGCCGCAGGTGAGAGCTTGCAACACATAATGAGATAGTGGGAAAGTGAGGAGTAATGTGCACACTCTTCCCACAGAAAAAGACAGACAAGTCTGCAGATAAATAATGTAATAAGAAGAAAACAAAACAAAACAAAATAAAAACCGAAAAACCCCCAAGAACAACGACTCCACACTATGAAAACAGCTCAAGGAAGAAAATCACTGCCTTGCCTTCCTGACAGTCAGAAATCCTGATTGCTCAAGTCAACTCAGGGATTTGATGTCTGCAGTGATATTCCCGTAAGCAGATTCCAATTACATCCTCTTGCATAAACTCTTTTCTATTCTTGCTCCCATCATCAGTCCCGCAAAATCAAAAACAGACAAAGCCCAAGGTAATTTCAGACACACATATATGTATCTGCCGGGCAGAAGGGCTATTTTTAGCAAAACGTCACTGTGCACGAACTCTCAGCCCAGTCCTTTGTGAAATGGAGCTTCTTAATAATTTAATTTCCATGGCAGCACCATGGAAATATCATAACACAGTGGTACAGTCAGGTATGCACGAAAATACACATACCCTGATTTATACCAGAGGTGATCGAGACACATTTCTCAGCTCTACAAAGACCAAGAGGTGAATGTTAAAGGGCACTGAAAGGTGTCACTTTGAAAACTGGCATGAAGAGTATTTTTTCTTCACACAGTGCCCAGAGAAGCCCATGGTGCCCACAGCCACAAAGAGAGGTTAGTCAATGTTGCAGAATAGGGCCAGGCATTGATGTGACTGGGGAGAACACTCAGGATTGTTAAACTCGGTACTTTCACAGAAAACAAACAACAAAAATATCAACGGGATGTTTTGTTTTACCCCTCAAGGCAAAGTTAAACCAACCTGTGTTGCTGAAGGCTGGAGAGCAAGGTATTCCCTTAAGAAGATATTGCTGACTATCAAAGAGAAGGCACTGGCTGTGGACCACTGGATTTGTCCAATATGACAACTGCTACAAGCAAACAGCCACTTAAGGAAGTCACCCTGAACTAATGTCAAGTAGAAGTGTGCAATCTGTCATTTCATGGATTAGAAAAAAAAAAAAAAAAAAAAAAAAAGGAGAAAAAACAGCCTCTGGAGAAATGAATCCTGTAGAACTGAGATCATAAAAAAGCTTCCAGCATTTAGCTACTTCAAATTTATCTGAACCTTTTGAAGACTTCTCTTCCACTGCTCTTTGAACATATTTTTCTTACACCCCTGTCTGGGTGTTAATCAGTCTGGTCACATCTAACAGCCTACAATTTCTTTCAACTTTTCTATTTTTCCTCCTCCCCCCACCCGAGTGTGTGCTGCTGGCTGGGTAACATGGATTGCTGGACTGTTTTCCCTACTGTTATTTCCCTTTTCTAGATAAATCATCCTGCATGGATCTGTAGTTTGCATTTGCAAATGAGCACAGATCATATGCAAATAGCTGTGGAAGGACCTCCTCTGTAGATGCAAGAGCCTTAAAATATGAGCACAGTGGGAGTTCAGACATCTTTGCAGCTTCATCCATTTTGCCAAGCTTTGAAAAATCTGACGTCTTCATATTATGAGTGAGATATTTTATTTAAACAGATCATGACAGCATAATGCATTATGGCAATGGCAACCTGCAAAGCTGACATCCATGACAGCTCAGTGGAGTAACTGGGAGCCGACAAAACACCACGCTGAAATGGTGGGAACGACAGTTATGGGTGTCAATTGCCACCCCTCATCTAAAAGGAAAAAGGGGGAAGAATGGAAAAAGAAGGACTGTGCAAATAGCTTCCTCTGAGCTAAATAACCACTTGCAACTGATACTTGCATCATGATTATTTCATAAACAACTAACAGATTGAGTCACTGATTAAAAACCAAAAGTACAATATAATTGATGGGCAAGAAAGATTTTACTTGTTTTCAAATTTAACTTGCGGTGACAGTCGAGAAGGAAGGTGTTGAAACAAAAAGGACAGCAGTTTGCATAACTTGACTGACATGACCTTTTGAATGTGGTTGTGTAAATGGAAACAATATGCTGCAAATATTGATGGGTATAGTTTTGTGTACTCCTCCTTTCACTCTACTCAATCCCTCTCCTTCCCTGGGTAAACAGTAATAAGTAATTAGTCCTTCATTCCTTAAAAGACATTGTCTTAAGTCTAGGTAAGTTATAAGTTGTTGCTACTATTGTTGTTGTTGTTGTTAATATTATTCATTTTTGTTAATATCCTTAACATTGTTTATTACTATCATCATAATCCTCACCTATACTATTGTTCCAGTTGTTACATATTCTATCTATCTATCTATCTATCTATCTATCTATCTATCTATCTATCTATCTATCTATCTATCTATCTATCTATCTATCAATATTATTTATTTTTGTTAATATTCTTAACGTTGTGATTACTAGTTTTATTACTATTATCATAATCATCATCATCCTCACCTATACTGTTGCTGCAGTTGTTACATATTCTATCAATCTATCTATCTATCTATCTATCTATCTATCTATCTATCTATCTATTCATAACCAAATTGCAGACTTCATTAAAGAAATCCTGTCATGTACAGCTGTCATTCAACACTGTTGTTAGACAGGATTTTGACGCTTATAATACTGCAAAATAAATGTTTTCCGAGAATGACCAATCATTCAGATTTCAGATTAATGGTACCTGGCAACTCTCCGCATTTGTCTTGTTTCCATTCATATTAGAAATCTAATTATTTTTTGTTTCCTTACCTCCAACCCTGGAGTTGTAGGCTACTCCAACTCCGCATTTTCTGTTGTTGGCTTGCATGGCAATTTCCCCTGCACACCGTGTCCCATGCCTGAATAAATACAGCAAGAATAAAGAACACATCATAACATCTTTGTTGTATTGTTCAGAAAGACTCATCAAGGACCTTGATGTGTTCAAATTCTTCCTTTCAATTAATGCAATGCAATTATTGAAGAGCTTTTGAGCCGTATCTGCATGATACAAAAATACTTATTTCTCCTAAGCTTCATTAAATATAATTTTACCTACTTAATGCTCAAAGGAACATTTCCATGAGATGATAACTGCTTTCTTTAATCTTACTGCAGATATCAGTATTTTAGTGCAGTGAAAAAGTGGCATAAAATTATGGGGCTAAGAAGCTGTCTTCAGACAGAAACATGATACAAATATTTTTTGATCACACGGTTAGATACTTATTTTCTAAATGACTGCATTTATTTGGGATTTCAGAAAACGAGCCTTTAAAGTGTCCCTGTTTTTTCTTGTAACAAAATATTTTCTATCCAATTATTTTCTTTTTCCATGGATGATTCTAATTCCTCAATACAGAAAGCCTTCCTCTAAGTCTCAAGGTAAGAGCACTGCATTATGTAATGCTACAGATTTTTTTTCAGTGACATGCTTCAATGCTTCTGGGCTGAATTCCATTTACTTATTAATAAAGATTAGAGACAATACAGGTAGATTTAAGAGATAATGACATCATAACAAGAGGATAATGGCTTCTTTCTCTAAAACAACACTGTAACAAAGTAGAAATGCCATTTTTCAAATGTCTTATTCATGGATTTATTATCCTCAGACTCATCTTTCTTTTTTTCCCCTCACACAATGATTTATGTTGTGAATGCTGCTGTATTGTCTGATAGGAAACAGGGAACCAATGCATCAGTTTCTTGCTATCTGTACTGAGTAGTGGCATTCTAATTTGTTTAAGAAATTGACTGTTTTGTGTACCAGCTTCTGGGGAGGCCCCTCCTATTCTCTTTCTTATGGACAAAATCCATAACTGGACTAAGATGGATGTGCCCAGGTATGACAGACTCATCAAGAGACCTTTTTTTTTTTTTTTTTTTAATTCCCAGAGCAAAGCAGAGAATTGAAGTAAAGATATACTTTGGGAGCTATCATTCCAGAAACACTTAGAGACACAAGAATAGATTATTCCCTTCACCTTGCAGAAATACCTCAGCACCTTACACGTGACTTGAAGAAATTCAGAACATCACAGGGAGGTTACAATTATGAAATTCTTCATCTGGGAATTTTATCCCTGTGTTTATATCAATGTTATGTGAAAATGCTCCTACAAACTGGAACACAGGAGGCTCCTTCTGAACATCCAGTAGTGATTCTTTACATTGAGGGCAACTGAGTACTGCCACAGGTTGCCCAGGGAGGTTGTGGCCTCTCCCTCCTTGGAAGTATTCCAAAGGCATCCTGGTCATCCTGGACAGCAGTCTCTAGAGCTCCCTGCTTGAGCAGATGATCTTCAGAAGTCCCTTCCAAGCTCAACCATGCAGTGATTCTCTTACACAAATTCTTCCTCTTATAAAATAATTGCCACAGGACACCCACACAGAAATTTCTCCACTTGTATCTTCTAACACACAAACTAACACTGTGATGCTTTGCTCTCTTCAGGCAGCTGTGAAGCTACTCACTTGTTTTCATTTGTTGGGTCGTATCTAGGGAAGGGATCAGGATCATTGTCGTTGAAATCGTAACTTGCCCTTGGGTCCTACATGCAAAAAAAAAAGAGAAGCAGAATTAATTCAGACAGCTAGAAAAGGCATTTCTAAATTGCTAACAAAATGGTTTGCAGAGTCTGTATTTATTTACTTGATGTGCCTCATACTGGCAGCAATCAAGCTGGTAGAATTTGCTGGCCATTAACAATTCCATAAGTTTTTCATGGAGCTTTAATAATTTAGCATTAAACTGCTACATATGAATGTGTCTGGGAACTAAATCTACTGAAGGAAAAACAAAACAACAAAATATCTGCCCCGCTGCCATTGCTAAGTGACATTCAGCTTCCTGTGACACAGACCAGGTTCCAAATCATGCCTAAGGCGAGTATTTCAGTCTCTCTGCTGCAGGAGCTGACTTGCAGAACAGACAATGAGCTGGGGAAGAGTGTCTGCTTATCAAATTTACAACTGGTTAATCTATTCCATGGCATTCTAATGCTCAAACTTACATAGTTAGCATAGATGTCAGTGTGATTCCACTCCAATCCATCGTCCAGGACTGTGATGACGACTCCCTTGCCGGTGAATCCTTTCTGCCACACAGGAATAACATGGAGATCCAGTTTGGGCAGGGATGGAGTAATTCTTGTATCTTGCTGTGGGACAGAATGGATTCAGATATATCAACATTTTATCCATTTATACCAAAAATGTCCAAAGTTGTATTCTAAAGATGCTGTAAACAATGTCAGCCAGAACTTGCGTATTTCGCTCAATTTTTGCAAATACAAAACAAAAATTAATTTCATCAAATACTTGTGGGGCTGAAAAATTTACCCCACTGCTTGAATTTCCCTGAAGACCACTTCTGAACAAAAAACATCTTGTATTTTTGGTAATTAGGCAGCAGAAAATGAAAGGAGTGGAGGGGATGCACTGATGGACCTTGGAACACTGGGTTAATAATCAGACCTGGGAATGTTTGTTCTTTCCATTTGATGAGGAGCCAAGACAGTGCCCGCAGTGCAGTGAGCTGGATTCCCTCCAAATGTGTTTTCTCCTTGGTCATTAAAGTTAGCCAGAGCAAAATAATTAATGGGTAAAACAATTAAGGTAGTCGTTTGGTTGGGAACAACTGTGTTGAATCACAATTTTCTCTTTACTACCCTCATTGCTGTTCCTGTGGTAAATCAGCTGGAAGTATGAATCATGGACAGCCTTCCCTTCTGCAGCAAGTTTTTTGAAGAGTATCTCTTAAATGGGTCATTTTCCCCCTGAAATACTAAAGGAACAGTACATACATCTAATTTAGAAAACATGCTTACAGCCCCCATAAAAACAGAGATGTAAAAAGAAGCACTTTCTTCCTGTTTCTCTGTGCACAATTACGTTAGCTGATGGCAGGTTTTCTGTATATCTTTTTTTTCCAAAGAAATACTGCATAAAATACAAGGTTTAGGGAAATAAATTTGTTATGGGGGTGAAATTTCTTTATATTTTGCTATCTATGTCTGACTCCTTCCATTCGGGGAATTATTTGAGATTTCAAGCTTTGTTCTCTTGAATCCATCAAATAATATTTTTTTTCCTGGTGATGTGTGAAGGTACACAGGATAGAGCTAAAAGTGTTGCCATCAAATCATAAAAATAAGGTAATAGTCAGTTATTCACTACAGGGCAAAACTCATATTTTGGAAGAAAATATCTTAACACTTTTATGCATTTAATCAGAAAAATTCAATGTTCATTGTGAGAAAGGCTAAGCAGTATGTTTTTGTTTCTCATGTGTGAAAACTAGAGGGAAAAGTAGTGAAAACCATAAATAGGTGGGAAAAGGAACTAAATCTCCTGGAGAGCAGAACATTGCCAGGTTTTTTTCCCCCCTGACTGCTTTTATGAATCATGTGTGTGTTTGTGTATTTGTCCAATATAGATATCTTGGAAATGTCCTGCTTTTTTGGATACAGGCAAGGAAGAAAACAGACATTCTGGATCAAAGAAAAGCTAAATTCTTACAGATAACAATATTTTTTCTGTTCAAAATAAGTCTGCAGGAGTCCTCATGGAAATATTTTATGCTATGTGGTTCATAATTCATCTTCCCTAGCTCAAAAGAAGGGAAGCAGCCTAGAGTTTGGTATGATTTCTCTAAGATTAACTGAGGAAAAGTATTTCCAGCCACCCAGGCCCCATTTCTTCTTGACCTTTCTTTCTGATTTGTTATACCCACCTTTAATCCCATCCCTATTCTGAGTGGAAGCAATGAATCCTAAACTGAAGGTACAGCTAGATGCACAATGGAAACACAAGCTTTTGGAAGAAACCATGTAAAATCGAAATGATTGGCTGTATTTCTCATTTGACACATGAAGACAGAAACTGTGGAGCTCAGGAATTTTTTTTCCTTTAGGTTCTGAACATGTGAATGATCTTTAGAGACCCTCTGATATATAAATCATAGTCCATGTAGCTGAAGGTGCTTGTCACGTGCATGCAGATGCAGATCTGGTGTATGTATTCTGCACTACCAATTTTAATGAAGAAATAGATGGCCAGCTTCAGCTATGGTAATGGACTTCTTACAAAAAAAAATACAAACATTTGAAAATTATCATTTAAGTGGTTTTTAACTGTTAACCATTTATGGTATCATCCCTCCCCCATACTAATAGCAACTATATGGCAATGGACTTCTTACAAAAAAAAAAAACTACAAACATTTGAAAATTATCCTTTAAGTGGTTTTTAACTGTTAACCATTTATGGTATCATCCCTCCCCCATACTAATAGCAACTGAATTGGTATCTAGAATCTTTGTAGATGTGACATTCCTCTGTTATGCACAGAGATCACTCATTTTTACAACATACTCTAAGGAAAGGGACTCTTCATTTATTCCCCTTGGTGCGATCACTCTGACACTGGTAAAAAAAAGGCAGCTAATGGCATAACCACCTTCCCTCGTTTCACAGGGCAACAAATTCTTACCAGATACCACTGCTGATTCCACATAGGGTCGTTGAAAAGGCTTTCTGCTGAGTCTCTCACGGCGGCACGCTTAGTTCGCTTCTTTTCATACTGCTGCTCTGCCCATGACACCTGCGATTGTTTGTAAAAATATCATGAGTGAACCTCTTCAGTTTGGGACTTTAAGGGACTCCATTTATTCCCCTTGGTGCAATCACTCTGACACTGGTAAAAAAAAGGCAGCTGATGGCATAACCACCTTCCCTCGTTTCACAGGGCAACAAATTCTTACCAGATACCACTGCTGATTCCACATAGGGTCGTTGAAAAGGCTTTCTGCTGAGTCTCTCACGGCGGCACGCTTAGTTCGCTTCTTTTCATACTGCTGCTCTGCCCATGACACCTGCGATTGTTTGTAAAAATATCATGAGTGAACCTCTTCAGTTTGGGACTTCCTTAACCTGGAGTATAAGGGCTTTCATCACACAGAGAGATTTTGGTGCCTAAAGCAAAATGAGCAACATTCAGTACAGGGAAGAGGATTATTTAAACTGTATTCCAGTGAGATTTAGGGAAGAGAACTTGGTGAAATCACAGTACTGTAGAATCAATTCACAGAAAGTTATTAAGTACAAGTTAACAAGGAACTCCTGTGAATGACAGAAAAAAGGTTTTTACAGCAAATAAAACCATGTAGTATGGCTAGAAGGTCAGCTAAGAAATGGTGCTTACTGAAACAAGGAAAACCACAGACTGCTTCTTTCTCCTATTTATCTTTTATTCATTCTCTATTGGGAGTGAAAAGGAAAGAAGAAAGATTATCTCTGGCTTTAGTCTAGCAATCATAATTATGCTGTTACTCACAGACCAGCTGGGCCTCCAACTCTCCTTCCTAGTGGTGTTTTGAAGAGTGGTCAATTAGCAAGCTACGAATATTAGACTAACTTCATCACTGGCATAATTCCACTTAAGGCAACCGAAAGCCAAAATGTTTCAGCGTGCTTTGATAAAGCATCACATGAGTTGCGCAGCCTCTGTGCACAGACACAGCAGTCTCTAAGGCACTAGGTTGTATTTCAAATGTGTATCGCCCTTGAATGCATTACTGAACCCAGTTCAGATGAAATCCTGATGATGATGCCTCCCTCTGTGCTGTGGGCTCTTTGTGGAAAGGGAATAAAACATTATTAGTTGGTCCTTGTATGGTCACTCTGACGCAGACGTGTCTGGTCCTTCTCATCCCAAATTCCAAGCAGGCAAAGCAAACTCGGGTTCAGCAAGAGTGCCAAGATCCTGTGACAAGCCTCGTGTGAAGGGTGCCTTGGATCTAATCTTTTACTTTCAAGCTCTGAATAGATTCTGTTCCTTTTATCTACTGTGATTGAGCAGCTTTATGATCCTGACATCTATCACCATATATGAGATAATAATGACTCAGAAGTTATGATTTAAAAGTATTATTTGATTAAAATGCAATTTTCTAGTGAAAGCCTAATGAAAATTCACCACAAGAACATAAATCCCTTAAAATCATATCTGCATTAGGCATGTTTACAATTCTCTTTGCTATATATTTAGTCCTAAACCCCCTACAAACCTTTGTCATAGAAGATGAGTATCCCCATGCAAGCTCAGGTATTTTAAACTGCTCTATTGATATCTCAGGCCTTACACACTTGTGCAAACGTTGGAGCAATTACCTCTAACTCTCTTCCCTGCCCACAGCAAAGCTTGACCTCTTCACCACCAACAGTAATTAGTAGTTGACAACTTCCATGCTTGTTATTTCTTTTCACGGTGAGCTAATGCAGCAAAGGGAAAAGAGCTGAAACTCCCAAGAACATGTGCCAGGCAAACAAGCAAAATGTTTGTCACTCAGCAGCTGGGTGAGGTTCCCAACCATCCATCTCCACCAAAAGCTGAAGGCCCCATGACAAATCTCCAATCACTGATACATAAAGCAGTAAAAAAATTCTCAATTCAAATCTACTCACAAGAAAGTAGATTTGGAAACCAGCGCAAATACTAGAAGAAGGTAGGTAAACAGATAATTATATCCCTTCAATGTATTCACAGCCTTTATCTGTTTTACAACAAACACTATAGGAAGCAGATAAATATTCAGATTAGAGCCAAGTTTTGCCACAATTTTCACACTTAACATACCGTAAAATTCATGAAGGCGTTATACAGACAAAAACAGAATTCCCCTTTCTTTCTCTTTTTAAAAGTTGAATCTAAATCTTTTTAAGTAGGCTGCTGCTGAACAGGAGCAGCTCTTCAGAGCAAAGGTCCCTGTGTAACTACACAGCATTACATGATTGCTTTGTGTTTATACACTTACGTAATGCATAATTGCACCTCATTTATTCATGGAATTAATTTGCATACTGGATGGTAAATAAAATGGAAATTGGAGTAAATTTAGCAAATCACCTGCAGCATTTTGAATCTAAGAATGTAAGGATGCAATAATGTCTGGTAGCAATATAACACAATCACTTCCATTCTGTTACAATTTTAGAATGTGATGCATTGAATACTCTTATTCTTCCCTGTGTAACAGATTCATTTGATGCAGCAAGCCCAAAAAAGCGAGAGACCGCACCCAAAACTCTGATCCTGAGCATCGTGCTAAAATAATATAGGACATGTGGTCATAGAGGCATAAATTGCAACTAGCTTAGACTGAATCTGTAGTTTTGGACATGCCCAAGTTAGGATTATTTCAACTTAAACTGGTAGACCAGTTCCCGTTTGCAAGGAAATAGATGAGATTGTACAATTTTCGAACAAAACAGGCAAAACAAACACCCTGTCTTGCCACACAGAATATTTCCTCCTAGCTGACATTTGCATCTAAAACCTCCAGATAGAAGATTACTCATTCTGAAGTGATTTGTCCTTATATGATAATTTGCTGGTTTTGACAACTGGGTTACTTCATGGTTTGGACAGCTCATATTGTCACAATGATTGTCGCAACAATGCTGATCTTAAAATCAAGTGTTGTTGTTGTGACATTTCCCAGAAAATAGTTTGTAAGAGAGGCTGACAGCTTTCTGGTCTGCTCTTTAAATTTGTCATGCACCTCAGTTTTTCATTATGGTTGCAAACAGAAATGCTTGTCTCTGAAATAAAGCCAGAAAAACGAGGGGTCTGTTTCACCAGTGGGTTGCACCTTAGACCCCTCTCTGGTTTTTCTGTGCTCTGATTGCAGTGTCAGATCATTGTAAGAAAAGACTGCCAGTCTGGAATGTGTGATGGATCCTTTGAGCTTGTTGCAGAAGCCAATCCAGCAGAGCATCAGCCCTTTATCCCTGCTTCTTTTTATTTTTTTTAGTTAATATTCAGTCACTTTAAATCAAACCTAATTCACATGGTAATTGCACAGACGTGGCCTAATTAAACTTAGTGCATCTATGGATTTTTTACTTTGCATCCAGCCCCTTGGTTCCCTGTTCACATTTTCTTCAGTGGCACATCAGCATCTGAAATTCCGGTGCTGCACATCTTAAATCTTAATTTGGAAAGCTCTTGTAAAATATGTGGTAAGGGAGGGTCGGACTCTGCCTGTGAATGACGGAATAGTTAAGTATTATTCAGCACGAGTATGGATGGCTGAATATATTAGACTTGCAAAATGAGGAAGGCTTGCCTGTGACCTCTTTAAGAAGCTAGCGGTAAGGAGACAGAATAAAAAAAAAATTTTAAAAGAATGAATTCAACACTTACCCGCTCATCATCAGAAAGTCTCTTAGTGATGTGAATAGCACTTCTTCGGGACCGTCGTGGGTGACTCTTATGTCTGAATAAGTAGTGGTTTTTCAGTGATCCAATCTGTAAGACGCAGGCATGCTTTAATTATCAGGAAGTATTTCCCCACTGTGAGCAAGTACCAACAATCAAAACCTGAAAGAATTCACGCTGCCTTGAAGACAAAAGAGCAAGAAACTAGCCTGTAGATATTTTAATCCAAACAAGGAAGCACTCCTCCAGTAACAAGTGCTTCTCTCAGCCTGCGTGCTGCTAGAGGAAGCCGGGGGAGTAATTTCATTTGGGCTGCTCAAGCGCAGTCATTACTACTCCAGGACTCAAGTTGCACAGCACCTGCACTAATGACCACTGCACTCATGGACTCACCCCGGCAAGGCCACATTTCGGCGGGCAGGTCGCCCACCAGTTTTATCTGCTTTTTCCTGCGCTTCACCTGGCCAGGTGAGAGAAGCTTCGCGTGGCTTCAGACACCTCACTGCGGGGCTGGGTTGTGCGGGCACTGAGCAGCATTTTCGCTTGCTCAGCGTCCAGCCAGCCAGCGGGCGAGCCAGGAGCCCCGCGCTGACTCTGAACACCCCACTCCCCCGAGGACGGGCACTTTGACAGCTGTGGGGGCAAATGTACCGCCTGCAAGGGCAGAAGGACCAAACCCACACTGGCGGGGTCGCACCCACGGATTTGGGAGGTGAACACGGCAGCGCCGGGCCACAGGGCGCTGTCCGCGGGCAGAACTCTGGCACGGAACCGGGCCGGACCGGGGGCAGCAGGGTCCCGGCGCTGGGGGACGCCGTGCCCGGCACAGGACCCTCTCCGGGAGGTGAGACGAAGCTGCTCCCTCCCGGCGGTTACTCATCCCTGACAACGCTGACGTCACGGCATCCCAAAAAAAGCGCCCGAGGGATGGCTGGAGAGAAGCCCCGCGATGGCGATGGAGCCGGCGGGGCGGAGGCGGCGCGGGGTCGCAGCCGACACCGCCCGTGCTCTCCTCCTCCTGCCCGAGCTGCCGGGCGAGAGCCGGGAGCCCTGCCCGGTCCCCTGTGGCACAGGTCGGTGTGCCCGGTGTGCCCGGTCCCCTGAGGGGGTCCTGAGGAAGCGAGCGGTGTGCCCTGCCTGACTCTGTCCTGTCTCCTCAGGGAGAGCCTGCCCTGCCTGCACCCTTCCAGGGACAGCCGGACCTCCCGCCCGACCCTGCCCAGTCCCGCCAAGGCGGGGTCGGTGTGCCCGGTCCCCTGAGGGGGTCCTGAGGAAGAGAGCGGTGTGCCCTGCCTGACTCTGTCCTGTCTCCTCAGGGAGAGCCTGCCCTGCCTGCACCCTTCCAGGGACAGCCGGACCTCCCGCCCGACCCTGCCCAGTCCCGCCAAGGAGAACGGGAGCGCCCTGCCCGCTCCCGTCAAAGGAGAGCCCGAGGTCCCCGCCCGGTCCCCGGGGCAGAGCCGAGCCGCCCTGCCCCGTCCCCTCCGAGGGAGACATCCCTGCATCCCTGCCCGGGCGCCAGGCACGGCCCCGGACGCTGGGATGCTGCGGTGGGCGACCGGGAGCTTTAAAACTCCCCGGAGCCCCGCGGGCGGCAGCCGGACACAAGTTTGAGGGAGCGGGGAGGGAAGGAGCCCGGCGGGATGGGAAAGGAGCCCGGCGGGATGCTCGGCCGTACCTGCCCCACCAGGTCGTAGTCCAGCTCGTCCGCGATGGCTCTGGCCGCGTCGGGGCCGGCCGGGATCTCGGCTGCCCACTCGTTGAGGAAGAGCCGCCCGGCGCTGCCCTCCCGGGGCAGGGACCAGGCTGCCAGGAGCACGGCCAGGGCCGCGCACCGGCCGGCCCAGCGCCGCCCGGCCATGGCCGCGGGACGCGGGAGGGACGCGGGAGGGACGCTGGCGGGATGCGGGGCGGGATGCGGGCGGGATGCGGGCGGGATGCGGGGCGGGATGCGGCGCGGCGCTGCTGCGCGGTAGCGCGGAGCGGAGCCCTGCCTGCCTGCCTGCCTGCCGGCGCCGCTGCCCGAGGCTCACAGACCCTCCGGAGCCGGAATGGAAATGAGTGTTTACACGTCAAAACGACGACAGCCATCCTGACGTCAAGTGTACCTGGCCCCCGAGCCGGGGGGAGGTGATTCCCGGGAGGGGGGAGCGCGGAAGCGAGCGGGATGGAGGCGGGGGGCGCGGGGGCGAAGCTGCGGGGGGGGGGCCCCGAGGGTCGGTGAGCGATGGTTCCCATTCTTTTGGGTGAGAGGCGAGACCCAGCCCGAGGCGAGGCGAGGCAGGAGCGCGGAGCCCGCCCGCTCCCATCCCGTGGCGGGTGGGTTTTCTGCCCCCCTGCGAGAGCTTTAGCTTTTTTAGCTAATTTAGCTTTTTTTGTTGTTCAGCTGGGCTTCCCTCGGCCGTACCTGCCCCACCAGGTCGTAGTCCAGCTCGTCCGCGATGGCTCTGGCCGCGTCGGGGCCGGCCGGGATCTCGGCTGCCCACTCGTTGAGGAAGAGCCGCCCGGCGCTGCCCTCCCGGGGCAGGGACCAGGCTGCCAGGAGCACGGCCAGGGCCGCGCACCGGCCGGCCCAGCGCCGCCCGGCCATGGCCGCGGGACGCGGGAGGGACGCGGGAGGGACGCTGGCGGGATGCGGGGCGGGATGCGGGCGGGATGCGGGCGGGATGCGGGGCGGGATGCGGCGCGTTGTTCAGCTGGGCTTCCAGCTGGGCGGCACAGCAGGATTTCGGCGCATTGTCCCCCGACACCTGTGACACACCACAGAGGTGCTGCCTTTACGGGCACCCTGCCCGCCCTGGAGATGGGGGCAAATGTGTTTATTGTCAAATACGGTTATTAATTCTGTACAATTTCTCGTTTAAAAATAGTTCCAACTTTTAGTCTATCAATCGCATCCGGTGGTCTGCACGTTGTACTTTTTCAGCAATTATTTCAATTTGTTAAACACTTATTTGCACATTTTCGTGTTGCATCTGCATTTCCCCAGCCCCTCCAGTTTTATTTAACATTCCCTCTACCTTTTCACTCTCTTTTCTAGTGCTAGAAAATGCTTCTAAAACTTTCCTGGTGTTCTCTAAATGCCCTTTTCCTCTGAAACTGAACCTTTTAGCGTCTTCACTTTATGGTGCACTGTATTTCATTTCTTGATTCTTCCGACTTTTTGACTGTAAATTTTAGCAGGCTGGTTTTGGATCTGTGCTTCAACACTGTGCTTCCTTCCATTTATTATGGAGTGACAGATATGCCTGCCTTGCTCTTCACTGGCTTCTGAAGTGGGAAAATAACCAAAAACATAAATATGAAACAATGAGGAGAGGAAAATATTTTAAAATATCATTGCTTCAGTGTCTGACATCTCATTCCCAGACATCACCATGAGAGTGGATGTGGTTCTGGGCATCTCCATGGACCCACAGGGATCAGGGGACTGTAATCACTGCCACTGCTCTGCCAGCTGTGAGAGTAGGAGCCTCAAATAACAGGGATATGAACGGATCCACGAGAGGGGGAAAGGGTGAGTGCGTAGTAAGTACACTAGAAATGCCAAGAGAATGTCAATAAATATTGATATAGAATAGAACACTGATAAAATGGCACTGGAACACCATCCTGTTGTTCACCCACGTTTGCTCTCTGCAACATGGTGTAACAACAGGTCGAGGTTCACCAAAGCCCAGGCAGCAAGCAGGGCACGTGGTTCCTGCTCATTTTAATTCATTTTATTCTCTGCATGATTTTAGCAGTGTTCACTGCCAAAAATATGTTTTCTTCACTTTCCTGGACAGATGCCTTAAAGATCCCTCTGTTCCATTTTTAGAATTGTTTCTGAGGCTTTATTTAAATGTGGCCACCTCACCAAGCAATTTCTGATTCCATGTGGGTTTTTCCTGTATGAGTGTTACCACCAGTGTTCTACTCAAAACACAAACTGCTTTTTTACCTCTCATTTCTCATCACTGACATTGCAAGCTGTCATGGCTTTTTTATTGCATTTTGTGTTAAGGAACTCTGTAGAAATATTGTCTCCAAACAGAAATGAAATCAGAGTTGTATGTAGATATAACGACAATTTATATCCTCAAGTCTTTAAGTAGCAGTCAGAACATCTACATCCACAGGAGTGTTTTGAGAGTCTAGGCACTCTTTTCTAAGTGATGAATTCATTCAGTTGTGTTTGGTTTCTAAGAAATCCCTCCATGCAGGATGATGGGCTGTGTACAGAGTTCTGAATTGTGCTGGAGAATGAGTCTGTGCTACGTGGACTTGGTTGTGTCATCCATTCAGGAAAGATACTGTCCAATGCACTAAATTCCCATCTAATAATAGCACAATAAATAGGAACAGCTTGCTCAGCAGCATCAGGTGGAGTCAAAGATAATTGTTTTATGCTTCATAAACAATTTAAGCTTGTTGTTTATCAGTGAAATAATTATTTAGTCCCTACTGCACCCAGTGGTATTCTTCCCAAGTGTAAGATCTGAAATAAGGCTAGTTATTAAAATATTATTTCATCTTTATAACTTCAGGAATTCAAGGCAGACCTGCTTCCAAGGGATCCACATCCCAAAAAGGACCTGGTACAGAGGATTTTTCCAATGGGAATCTTTACATTCTCCAAGCAGAAATATACCCTTGTAGACCTAGTGTTAAATATTCCTTGCACATAGGTGACATCTACCAATACAGCATGTAACATTGAGGGTGAAATCCTAAGTTAGAAGGGCCAGGAGTTTACCTGAGTGTGTTTTTCTCCCTTATTGTCAAAAGGCATGCAAGTATTTGAGGTTGTAGCTGTGTTTTTGTACCAACATGTCTGATCCTTCAAAGACTTGTCCATGAAATAGGGAGACAGGCTGGTTTTCAAAAGCCAGGCACTTACACACAACACCCTATTTCCTTGCCTGATAGAAGACACAACTTATTTAAACCTAGTAATCCTCATTCAAAGCTCAAGGCCATAATCTCGAGCCCAGCTCTCTGCTGGCTGCCACGGCATCTCTCCAGACATCTGTTCCTGGTGTAGGCATCACTCTCTGCAGCTGGTACCCTGTGCCTTCACCACGTCCACACTGATGTCCAACAGACCCACCCCCTCAGCCAGAAGAGTGCAGTGGGGAAAGCTGGAGGAGTTCAGGAGCTTCAGCACCTCCGAATAGTGGCCAGAGCTCTGTGAAATTTATCTGTTACAGGGTGGGAAGCACAGGCATGAAACTCTGCGAAGCTGTGAATTGAGTACCCCAGGAAGGGATAAAGTGAGAAAGATGCATTTCTTCTTCCTCTTCTTCCTCTTCTTCCTCTTCTTCCTCTTCTTCCTCTTCTTCTTGCTGAGGCAATTAATGAAAGAGCAGAGATAAACAGGAGCAGGACATAGGGAAAACCAAAGGCAGGCAGAAACACTCTGTTTATCTGCAGGAAAATCAAAAGGGTTCACGAGGACGCCACTGTTTTATCATCTTGTTTTTTTGCAAGTATGTTTTGGATGAAGAAAGGTATTATGTAATGACATTTTCTTTTAGATCAGTGACAGTGTAAAAGCCAGACAAGAGATTCATCTCTGATGTCATATCTTGATAAGCCCATTTGATTTTGTAAGATCAAGCCAAGGATAATTTTTTTTCTACCCACAGAGCTTGCTTTCAACATGTAAGATGAATTTGGGTTAAAGTACTGGTAGTTCTTGACGGGTAAGCATCAAACCCTATCTGTGAGAATCCAAAAGTTTAGGGAGCAGGAAGAGCATATCCCAAACATGTTACTGGGTCCCTGCACACACTGCTGGGTTTGCAGAGAGAGATAGACCAGGTCTTGACTCTGGGAATCTTCTACCACCACAGACAACCAAAGCAGAGACTTCTCCTGTCCACTGCAAGACAGGAGGAGTGATGCAGAGACAGAAAGACATGCTGGGGGGAGCAGATCAAAAGATCAAAGCACAGGGACCAACATTCAGCCCAGTCCTGGAATAAGTATTTTGGCTGCTGGGTATCACCAGCCTTCACCTCTTAAGGGTGGCCCTCCAGCTGTTCAGCCACCTTTCCTTTTTTATTTTTCCTACAAGTGCAGTCACCCAGGAGAACAAAATCTTGTTGAAAACCTGTTATGTAAAGGGACCATTGACATTTCTGCCTGTGCCTCATTCCAAAATCTTCCTGGTTTTAATGCTGCAAGGCCAGTAGGTCTTACACAGCTGTTGGGAGATAAATGTTGTGGTTTTTTTTTTCAACACAAAACTTCAGGCTGTAAAGTATAAAACCAACCAGGAGTTGATACTATCTCACTGTTTCTATTTGGAGGGTCCAATTTGAGGATGTTAACACCATTCAAATGGGAATTTGTGTTATATGTGGCTTTAATTTGCAAAGTCAGAGCACCACATTTTAAAACACGAGTAGCTGGAAGTGCAGCTTGACGCCTGAAGTGCTTGTGGTGGCCGCTGCAGCTTAATTAGTTAAATACTAAAAAGGGCTGTGCTGCTTTTATTTAATTTGGCCGTGGACCGAAGGACACTCTTGAAACCCCCTCTTTTGCAGCAACACTATTTCTTTTTCTGCAGGAGCCAGCATTGCAAAGCAATTGGAGGAGGGCGTAAAAGAGGCCATATGTGCAGGCAATCGCAGAGGACAAGGGGGAACACCTGTTTTTCCATCAATTACAGCCTGCGAGCTCGCGGGGCATATTTATTCTGGGGGCATTACATTTGCCTGGGTAATAGCGCATGACACATTTCCAGCTTTACAGCAGACGAGCCCTGGGAAGGAGCTAATCGTGTCTGTACAAATGAAACACAAACATGCCCTCCCGGCCATACACGTGGTTAAACAGCGGCCCTAATGACACCCGGGGCCAGCAGGAAGCAGCTTGTGGCCACCGGGGTGGCTCTGTTTGCTCTGCTGGCTGAAGGCAACCCGAGCAAAAAGCCCTGGGAAAATGCATAGGTGGGGCTGTAGGAGAGGTGTATGCCCTGGGGGAAATGGTAATAATCTCTCTATTTGGTAAGGACAAAGTCCAACTCAAGCGTTTTGCTTATGGCA